TAACTATTTCTCGAACAAATCACTAGCCTAACCAAAAACTTATTTTGCAACAGAATCATATGGAGCCTCAGGAAGGCCGTGAGACCAAGTAAACAACAAGCAGCCAAGCACGTTAGTACAGTACATTACACAAATAACTTTTATAACTTATAGATCTAAGTAAAGCAAATATGCAATGGCAGCAAATATGCATTGGCTGGCACGTAGACACCCTTCATTCCTACAAATACCTAACTACAAGTCTACAACTCTAATGGCTGTGGAATTTATATAACTCTGACATACTATGTTGGGCAGATGAATACCATATGTAAACCTCTGAATGGGTTATTCCAGAAAACATCCATACCACCCCCACAGAGGAAATTGGAAGTTAACTCCCATCGGATGTCCTAATACATTTACAATTATCAGAAACAATTTTTTCTCCCCTCCCCCTCCGGACGGGAGAAATTTCCTCTGTGTGGGGAGTGTGGATCTTTTCTGGAACGACCCAATTAATGCTTATATTCATTCAATAGCATTTTTGATGGGCAGAGTTGTTGGAATCCCCTTCACTGCATTAAAAAATACCTGTCCAAAAATAAGTTTATGGGCTCACACAGAGGGATTTAACCCATTGAGTTGCATTGCACCCCGATGCACCCTACTTTAGTATTTTACCCTGTCTAACGCCAGACGATTTTACTTGTCAAGGGAAGAGCGCTGGCGCTTAATGGGTTAAATTTGGGAGAGGGCTTTATATTCAGAATTTCTTGTGGTGCAATTCTACACAGGAGGGCTTATATTTGGGGTCTGTCATTGGGGCTTAGGTTTATGGTCATTGCTTGATTGCAATGGGTATTGAATCATTTGAATGGTTTAAACTTGATATCTTTAATGGCCTTTAATTGGCCCAGCATATTCAGCAAAACAATTGAATTTTCACCTGCCTGTTGTAGAAGTGATAAATAATATATAACTACAGTATACACAGTCATTATATATAACTGCTACAAGAACCGCTGGCAAGGCTATATATAGCACTCAAAGTTTGTCAGGGAAAATTTGTTTATATCTCTATAATACTATAAAAGCCTGTAGTGCTATAAAATAAATATACAGTAAGTGCACAGTGAGGATTTTGACACTATAAGCAGGTTTTAAAACCCTATGGCTATGAAAACACAGAGACTAGTGGTATTAAAATCAATAAAATTTACAGGATTCCCCACCATTTCCCTATGGTTTGTGCTTCGTACATTTCTTAAATTTTTTTCTATCGAGTTTAATATAAAAGCAAGCAGACACAGCAAGCTAGAATCTAGAAATATTCAAATAACTGTATAAAATCTTACCGGTGAATAAAAATATATTCTTCTCGTTCTTGTTTGGACTTTGGAGAATTCTCACACATACGAGCGGCGTAAAAATGCAGTATCCGTTGTAAATCAAGCAAATTGGAAGAAAAATATCACGATTTTCAGCGAGATTTTCTTCTCAAAAACCAATTTTTTAGGCTGAAACCAGGGGCACAGCCAGGGGGGTGAAGTACATCGTCGAAAGCTTAGGATCGCGGTTGGGACAGTGGTAGTTGCCATGAATTTAGGGACCAGTAGTCATGGCAATGGCGTCAGATCCGCCATGTTTTTGGCGACACTTTTTTATCCCGAGCAGGTCGGTGAAGGCTATTTCAGATACGGTAGAGCACCATTGAACTATAAATAAACTGGAAGGC